TTTAGAGGAAACGGGAAGGCATTTCAGTTCATCAAAACACTGGTGATTAATCAGCCAAGTACCAGGCTGTTTTCATTAGGCTTATTTTTAAAGGTCTGACACGCTGCGTAAAAATATTCCCCTAATAATCGTGCTCTCAGCAGAGGGAACGGCACAGGAGGGGGTGCAGCAGCACTGGTTTCTAGGTATCCAAGGTAAATATGTCAGCGAGGCGGAGAGGAGCGAGCAGGCAGGACTCAAGATAGCAATGGAGAGGGTACAGGGCTGGCACTGCGGATGGAGACAGCCTGGCTGGTGGCCTGGGCTGCAGGAGAAGGCGCGCTGGTGGCTGCGGGGACAGCCAAGGTTTCGAGACGAGGGGGAAGGATGCATTTCTGTCTCCTCTTCTGTGTCATCCTGCCACGCAGCTCCTCTACTGAGCTCCAACTGGAGCAACACACTTTATTTCCAGCCCGGAGGTGAGCACTTCTACACCGTCATGAGTGAGCAGAGCTTGGGCTGGTGTCACCACCCAGGGCTGGCACCTGCAGCGGAGCCAGGGCGGCAGAGCACACCAAGAGCCCGTGGATGGGTGCAAAGGAGGGGATGAAGGCACGCTCCCTCCTGGGCGCATACATGGCCTTGGGCAGAGCCAAGATCAGCTTCTGACCTGGCTTTAGAGATGTCCCCAATCTCCACCAAGGGATGGAGAGTCTCGTGCAGGCAGCGGCGGATGGGTAAGAGTGACCCTTGGTTTTAGAAACACACATCTGATTTCTTGCCTGCAAGTTTTTGCTCCTGATTCCTCCCCTTCTGCTGCTGCTGCTGGAGCCAGGCGCTTGCAGAGGGCCTTGCCCAGCAGGGACAGGGGTACCGTGATCAAGGCAGCTCTTGCCCCATCTGCATTAAATGACACAGCTTGAACACCTCTTACCTCTTGCTACCAGCCAGCACTTTCACAGGCTCTTTGACAGGATCCTTCCAGCGCATCCCAAATTTGCTGGATGCCCGTGATCCTGCAAACACGGCCCGCGGTGGCAGTAACACCCGTGGCCGGCCACTGCACACCCATTGCCTTCCCTTTTCCCCCTGCCCGGGGGCACAGCTGGCTCCTTTTCCCCTGGCTCCTTTTCCCCCAGCTCCTTTCCCACATCCTGCTCTTTGGCTCCGGTGCCCTCCTTCCACAGACCTGCCCCATGCCACAGCACCTGGACATGTGGCAACACATCCGTGGATGGATGCTTTAATGAGAACAGCACTAATGATGTGAGAACAAGACATTCCCAGCAGCTTTACTAAGCAGAAATTTGCTACGCATCTTATTTTGCTCTAGTTTCATCTTGTTTGGAGAAATCCATTGCCTTCTCTGAGCATGAGAGCTGATGTAGGTCCTTCTCTCCAGGGTTTTCCTCCCTTTCTCCAAGATCTGCTCATTCCTGGCCAAAGCCTTTGCTCTGGTTGGTCTTGGATGGCCCAGGGAGCTTAGGGGAGACTCAGGGCTCCCCACTGTCAAGTTGTGTGAGCTCGAGCTGGGAAGGAGAAGGCTTTTTGGAGAGCTTGGTGTGGAGATGAGGCTGCTGGCTCTGACTCAAGGAGGGCTCAGCCTGTGGACACGGAAGGGCTGCAGAGCCCTGGGGGAACAACTGTCTCTTCTCGCAGGAACCCCCAAGAAACCTCCAACCTGGGACATCCCCAAACACCTTTGAAAGGCACCCTTGGGCATGGGTGTGGGGGGACAGAGCGAGGCAGCAGAGTCCTCATCCCCCACACACCCCCTGCCCAGCCTCCTGCCAGGGCAGACGCGGCTCTTCCTTCACCGAGGTGCTTCAGGATGTCACCGAGCATCCTTGCACCATCCCAGCCCTGGGAACAGGGCACGTCTTGGTGAGAAGTGCCGCTGGCTCAGTGCATCACCCGCTCCCTGCAGCCCCTGGGACAGGGGGGTGCTGGCATCGGGGCTCCTCCGGGAGCTCCATCCCTGCTGCTTGGGGTTTGCAGCAGCAAGGGGCTGTGTGGACAGGCTCTGTAGGCATCTGGCGCATGCCTTTCGGTCGCCTGTTTAGGTTCGCGCAGGGGAGCCAAGAAATCTCTTAAATAAATAAATAGCTCTCTCGTCCCAGATGGCATCTGTTTATACGCCAGGTACAAACAGTCCCCACGGCTGCCCCGCTCACAGCCAGGCCAGTTCTTTCCACAAAAAAAGCAGTCCCCGAGGGCCAGCAGTGCCGCACGCTGGGAAGGCAGAGCCTGGGCTGGGGAAGCCACCGTGGCCAGGGCATCGTCTGGAAGAGGAGGCCAGCCCTGGCTGCACACCAGGGTCTCTGGACTCCAATTTGGGGGTTCAAGGCACTGGGTGAAGCCACGGTGCTGTCCTAGCCCTGGGAGGGCCAGGGAGCTCGTAAAGGCATCACAGCTGAATCTCCCAGAAGCATCTTTCTTCCTCCTCTCCCTGAAGTCCTAAAGTCCCCCCAGCAAGGATGACATTTGCTCTGCCACCCCCTCACCTTGGTGCTTCCTCTTCCTCCTGCAGCCAGCATCACTGTCAGGTCGCTAGCACTGCTACGGTCAAGCTGAGGACACCCAGACCAACCCCGCAGCTGTCGATCTGAGCCTGACCTAACCGTGGCTCTGGGGCCAGGCTCCCAGCTAGCAGAGTCTCCGCACGTCACCCTCTGCTCGGCTCTGGACAGAAACCCCACGGCACCCGCTGGCGGCTGGCATGCCAAGCCGAGCCGTGCTGCCAAAGCCAGGCACCCAGGAAGAGCCGGGCTAGCCGCGAAGGGCAGGAGCTGCGTGCTGCCCGGCTGCAGGCAGGGAGGAGGAGGTTTAAACTGCCAAACCCAGACCCAGACTTTACGGTAGGGTTCTCCCCTGCACAGCAAACTTGGTCCCAATGTCAGGGGTTCATCTGTCTTCAGTTATCTGTTCATAGCATTGGCTCACCTCTGTTGGGAGTGGAGGTGTCTTGAATCTGATGTTCGAGGAGGTGAATCCTGCCCCGCTGCCCTGCTCTTACTGCATTGCTGTAACAGTCTTGGTCCTGTGCCTGCATCTCTCCAGGCACACGAGGAAGCGAATCTGGTGCGTAAGAAAACCAATAGGCTTGAAGGCGGCGTGCGCTGAGCTGCCATCAAAGACTTCGACTGCAGAAGCAGAACATGTTGAAACGATGCTGATGGCAGAGTCTTCCCAGCCCCATCAGCCATGGTGAAGGCTGAAACGAGGCATTTGCTGTGTCCTGGAGCTGCCGGTGCTGGTCGTGGTCAGCAGCAATGCACAGGACAGGCTGTGCCAAGAGCGAGGTTCAGGTGCTTGACGAAAAGTGCCAAAAATTACGTGAAAAGCGGGTTCAACTGACAAGAGGCAAATGACCAAATGGCCCTAAAGCATGAAGGAAAAGAGGAAAATCCTTTGCTGCCAGAGGCAGTTCATAAGAAAATAGCCATCAAGCCTTGGGGTTGCATCCCTCTGCGTGCAGGGAGGATGTAGCTGCTGCCTGAAGGTCAGCCTTGGAGAGCTGAAAGCCAGACTAAGCCCTCCTGCATATCGAAGTCCCACAAACACAACAGTGGCATCATGATAAGCATAAAAGCAGAGGCAAAAATCACTTTTGAAGAGTGAATATGCAAGGAGGAGGACAAAATGAAAGCACTGATGCTTGCCAGCCCACTAAGGAATGAGTTCATCTTGGCTGGCCTGGAGATAAAAGAAGAAACTCAAGAGGTCCAGGGCACTGCTGCATGACTTCTTGGCACAGAGAGATGGGGAGATCCCAGGGGCAGGGGAAGGGGGTGCCAGCTGCAGTGACACTGCTTTCCTTAACCCACACCGCAAAATCTGCATCCTTCCCCAAGACCGCCCCAGTTAAGCTCTTCCCTCCTATGACGCCTTTGGACACTGGAGGAGGATGTGCTGGGGAAACGTCGTGCATTACAAAGCAATAAACGCCGTGTCCCCATTTCCTTGGTTTTCTGCAGGGAGCTCAAAATGCAAACTTACCTTAAAAGGAGGCCCCTTTCAGAGAGCCCAGGGTTGCGTGCGACTGCTTCATCTGCAGTCACCTCTGTCGCCAGCTGTGGACGCTCCCCTGCTTGCACACGCGTCCAGGCCAGCACGGGAAGCGTGTTTGGCTCTAGACCGGGCAAAGCTGCAGAGCATCCAGCTGGAAACCATTTTGAAAAGCTGGGAAAGCACCTGGGGTTCACAGAGGTATAGGCACTAGATCCATCCCTGGTTGAAAAGGTGATTAAAAAGAGGGTAACTCGTAGGAGGTATGATAGGAAGGGGTCAAACAGCGCAGGCTGCTAAGGGAGATGCATCGGGCTGCTTGTTAGGTTATTGCCTGTTCACTGGGGATGAGGGAGGGCATCCCGCTGAGCTCTGGAGCCCTTTGGGAGGGGACTGGAGGCAGAAGGAGAGCAGAGATGCCTTGGAGAGCTGCGGCGGGACCTCAGCACGCCTGGGTCCTGCAGGCTCTGCCTACATGCAGGGCACTCGGACGCTGAACCCTCCCCTGGACCCGGGACCTCAGCTGGGTTAAACTTTCCTCTTCCAAAGCACAACCACAGGCTGCAGTGTGTGAACATGTGGTGGTAAATCACTGAGGCGAGATGGAGGAGACTCTGGCCCGTATTCCGGGCTAAACCATCATGATTTGGAGCAGGTCGCTTACCTCCCTGAAGAGTCCTGGCCGCGGGTCTGTCCGCTGCCACGGCACACGCCGGCACTCGCTGTCCTCGTGCTCCCCCACGGCACCTCTCCGTTGCCTCCTGGGGACCCTGCATGGTGCTCGCACCAGGTTTCTGTCACAAATGCCTGTTTTGGGGCAGCTCATCCCTCACAGGCACAGTCCAAGACCTTCGTGCGACCGGGCTGTCCTGCACCCTCCCGTGTATCTCCCCCGGCTGCGGTGCTGCCCCGCGGGGCCCAGAGGTGCAGAGCTGGTGACGATGAGACTGGGGTGGTGAGTCTGGAGGTTGGAGGCATCTCTCTGTAACGCCTTGGTGTTTTTCTCTCGTTAGGAAAGCAGATTGAGCGAGAAGAATAAAGGAGCCAAGAATGAAGAAGAAAAGGGAAAGGGAGCTTCTTCCAAAGACCTGGCCTGGAAACGAGATACAAAAGTGGGGAAAGACTCTAAAAAGGAAGAAAGCGTTCAGAAAACAGACCCAAAAGTTAAAGCTGAGGCTGAGACCAAGGCCAAAGAGGAGAAGGCTATCAATGACAAAGTCAAGGCGATGGAGAAAAAGCTGATGGGGAAGGACAAAAAGGAGGAAGAGAAGGGCTCAGCATTGAAGAAGGACACGGGGAGGGATAAAAAGGAGGAAGAAAAGGGCTCAGCGTTGAAGAAGGATGCAGGGAAGTACAAAAAGGAGGAAGAAAAGGGCTCAGCCTTGAAGAAGGATGCAGGGAAGGATAAAAAGGAAGAAGAGAAGGGCTCAGCAGCAAAGGAGACAGGGAAGGACAAAAAAGAAGAAGAAAAGGGTTCTGTGTTGAAGAAGGGCACAGGGAAGGACAAAAAGGAGGAAGAGAAGAGCTCAGGATCAAAGAAAGAGGCAGAAAAAGACACAAAGGGAGAAGATAAGAAAGAAAAAGATAAAAAAGAAGAGGAAAAGAGTTCAGCTTTGAAAAAATCAAAGGCAGACGAGAAGGAGAAATCCCAGCCCGAGGCAGCGGAGGAGAAACAGGAGGCCAAGGCAGCGGCCGAGAGCAGTCCCTCCAAGCCCACCACCGGCAGCTCCCCAGATCAGGCCAAGGATGACGAAGCCTCCAGCATTTTCGATGAACTCATCGAGAAGGTGAAGAACAACGATGCCGAGGTCACCGAAGTGAACGTGAACAACTCAGACTGCATCAACAACGAGACCCTGGTGCGCTTCACCGAGGCCCTGGAGTTCAACACTGTGGTCAAGCTGTTTGCCTTGGCCAACACCCGTGCCGACGACCACGTGGCCTTCGCCATCGCCATCATGCTGAAGTCCAACAAGGTGCTGACGAGCATCAACCTGGACTCCAACCACATCACGGGCAAGGGCATCCTGGCCATTTTCCGGGCGCTGCTGCAGAACAACACGCTGACGGAGCTGCGTTTCCACAACCAGCGGCACATCTGCGGGGGGAAGACGGAGATGGAGATCGCCAAGCTCCTGAAGGAAAACACCACGCTTCTGAAGCTGGGCTACCACTTCGAGCTGGCCGGACCACGCATGACAGTCACCAACCTGCTGAGCCGAAACATGGACAAACAGAGGCAGAAACGCCTCCAGGAGCAGAAACTGGCACAGGAGCGTGGGGAGAAGAAAGACCTCCTGGAGGTGCCCAAGCCTGGAGTCCTGCCGAAGGGGTCCCCCAAGCCATCCCCGCAGCCGTCCCCCAAGGCTTCCCCCAA